AATTTGCTTCAAGTTGAACTAAGAGAACAACTGAGGGGGGAGAAATTTGTATTTGTGTTGGATGACCTTTGGAATGAGAAATATACTGATTGGAACTGCCTCCAAACTCCTTTTACTTCAGGGGCAAGGGGAAGTAAAGTCATCGTAACAACACGGAACAAAAATGTAGCATCTTTCATGCAAAATGTTCCTACTCAACCCTTGGAACCTTTGTCACATGAAGATTGTTGGTCATTACTTGCAAAACATGCGTTTGGAAATGTAAGCTGTAGTGCATATCCAAGCTTGGAAGAAATCGGCAAGAAAATTGCACGAAAGTGCAATGGGTTGCCTTTAGCTGCACAAACACTTGGCGGTTTGTTACGCTCCAGGCTAGACTCCGAGGTATGGAACAGAGTACTAAACAACAGCATTTGGGAGTTACCTTCCGAGAAAAGTGACATTCTTCCTGCTCTAGGATTGAGTTATCATTATCTTCCAGCTAAGTTAAAGCGATGCTTTATTTATTGTTCAATTTTTCCAAAAGACTATGAATTCAAGGTAGAAGACGTTGTTTTTCTTTGGATGGCGGAAGGTTTAATTCCCCAAGCAGAGAATGGGTACAACATGGAAGAAGTGGCTAAGGAATATTTTGATGAACTGTTATCCCGATCATTGTTTCAAACATCGGGGAAATCAAGTTTTGTTATGCATGATCTCATCAATGACTTGGCCGTGTTCATGTCTAAAGGATTTTGTTCCAGGTGGGAATGGAGGGAATCACATGAAGTAGAAAGAGTTCGCCATTTGTCATATGCTAGGGAATATTATGATGTTGCTCTTAAATTTGAGCCATTAAATGGGGCTAAGTGTTTACGTACCTTTCTACCTACCTCCTTAAATCCATATTACTCTTATCAAGAGTATTATCTAAGTAAAAAGGTTGTACAAGATTTGTTGTCGTCACACAAATGTTTACGGGTGTTATCATTGTCATGTTATAAGAATGTCACTCAGCTACCTGATTCTATTAAAAATCTTATTCACTTGCGCTATTTGGATCTCTCTCATACTGCAATTGAAAGGTTACCTGGTGTACTTTGCAGTTTGTACAATTTGCAGACGTTACGATTGTCAAGCTGTTACTCACTCGTTGAATTCCCTGCTGACATGAGAAAATTGATAAATTTACAGAGCTTAATGTTGGAAGATTGTATATCTCTTACTAAATTGCCCGTCGATATTACAGAATTGATTAGTTTGTATCATCTTGATGTGAGTGGAACTAAAATTACAGAGATGCCATCGCAAATGAGTAGACTAAAAAGTTTGAGAACTTTGACTGCTTTTGTTGTGGGGAAATCTACTGGGTCGACCATTGGGGAGTTGGGGGAGCTTCCACATCTTCGAGGAAAACTTTCAATTCTAAATCTGCAAAATGTAGTTGATGCTAAGGATGCCGTGCAGGCCAATTTGAAGAATAAGAAGTATCTGAAGGAGTTAAAGTTCGGATGGGGCGATGAAGACTCGGATGATTCCGAAAAAGTGAGAGATGTACTTGACAAGCTCCAGCCTTCAATTAGTTTGGAGAAACTGACCATCCAATTTTACGGTGGAACCAACTTCCCAAATTGGTTAGGAGACTCATGCTTCTCTAACATACAAGTCATGCGTCTTAGCGATTGTAAATATTGTTGGTTGCTACCACCAGTTGGGGGGTTACCTGCTCTCAAAGAGCTTTATATAGAAAGGATGAACTTTGTTAAGACAATTAGTGTTGAGTTCTATGGTAGAAATGGAGCGTCTCTAATTCAGCCATTTCAATCATTGGAGAAGCTGGAGTTTAAGGAGATGGCAGAGTGGGAGGAATGGGTACCAAGTGGAAGTAGAGGTCCAGACTTTCCTCGTCTCCAGGAGCTGATTATAAACAATTGTCCGAAGTTGACAGGAAGCTTGCCTTGTGATCTGCCTTGCTTGAAGAAGCTTAGAGTGGATGGGTGTGGGGTTTTACATGATCAAAGGGCCACTGCTACTACTAGTAGTAGTACTAGTCTCAACTACAATTCTATTGAAGATTTGGAAATAGTAAATGGATGCCGAACAGGTTTGTTATCATTACTAGAGACAAAGCTCCTGTCCGAACTTTACATTCTAAATTTTGATGACATACAGTGCTTGCCCAACATCAATCGTCTTCAAAGTTTGACTCTCTTGAATTGTCCAACGCTGTCGTCGTTCCCTGAAGATGGCCTACCCACTTCGTTGACATCACTTACAATAGTCCATTGTAGGATATTAGAATTCCCACCTCAAGAGATGTTGGCCAAATTAACATCGCTCGACTATTTGGTTATACATAATAGCTGTGAATCAATGAGGTCCTTCCCCTTGGGCATTTTTCCCAAATTGATGAAACTTCAAATTGGTTATTGTGACAATCTGGAATCTCTTTGCTTGATTGAAGAAGGAGTGGTTCTCAGTCATCTAAATAGCCTGCTTGTCTCTAATTGTCCAAATCTGGCGTGTTTTCCCCGGGGAGGATTGCCCGCTCCCAACCTGACTCAATTGAATTTCTTTGGATGCGAGAAGTTGAAGTCATTACCTGAACGCATTCACACCCTCACAGCCCTTGGAAATTTGAGTATAAGCAATCTTCCAAATCTGGAGTCAATTGCAGAAGATGGGGGTTTGCCTCCTAACCTCCAATATTTTAGGATTCAGAATTGTGAGAGACTGAGGGCTTCATCTTCATCAGTGGGAGACTACTGTAACTGGGGTTTGCAAGCACTTGCCTCCCTTGAACAATTTACAATTGGTGGCAGTGGAAGTGATGAAATCTTGGAGACCTTGCTCAAGCAACAGCTGCTCCCGACCACTCTTCGCACTCTCTGGATCGAGGAACTTTCAAATCTGAAATCTTTGGATGGAAAGGGACTTGCACACCTTACTTTTCTTCGACGTCTAGATATTAGAAGTTGTGACAATCTCCAATTCCTGCCAGGAGAGACACTTCAACACCTCACTTCTCTTCAAGAGCTATATATTTATGACTGTTCGAGTCTCCAATTCCTGCCAGAAGAGGGTCTGCCGCCATCTCTTTCTTATCTGAGCATCTCCAAGTGTTCTGCCCTGGAGAAAAGGTATCAGAATAAGACGGGACAAGATCATTGGGCCAGGATATCTCACATTCCATGCATCAAGATAAATGATGAAGTCATCTTAAGATAATAAAACAAACAAGGTATGTACTTCGAATAACCACTTTAACTGCTTTTCTTCTAATTCAATAAAAAAAACTGAAGTTCACTGTCCAAATAAACCGAAATACACATTTATAATTTAACTATTTTTATGTCCACAAATTTGCCATCAATTTTGCATCCAATAAACTTTTACAGCATTTTGATCTCGCTTTCTGTTGTTCAGCACTTTTTTATTATTTTATAATTCATATTCATTTTTGGCTTATAACCGCACTGTAGGCATACTCTGTCAATAATTGAATCTTCAGTTACTATTGGTTAAATAACCGCACCGTAGGCATACTCTGCTAGGAAACATTTCAAGAGATTGTATGCATTCAGGAGATTGAAGCTCGCATTCCCATATTGGTTAAATAATTTCAGCCATTGGATCAAAATTTTATACTCACAGCTTTTTGTTTGTCACTGCTGCTTTTACTGGTCTCATGCTATTATCTGATCAAAATCATTTTCCAGAAAAACACAAAAAAACTCAATCTGATTTCTATTATTATTTTGCTCAGTAAATTCTCTCCTTCTATTTCCTCAGTTTCTTCACAACTTATATCCTATAGTAAGTCTCAAATGCTGAATAATTAATACTCTTTTTTCAGGACAGCACCTTCTCTTGGAAAGCTTTTCATTTGCAAGGTTCCTTTACGTGTCATTTCCAAGGTAGGGTTACCATTGTTCATAGACTTTTGTTTTTCTACAAAAGCAATTCTCACAACGAGGGGAGATGGAAAGGTTTACCTGGAGTATCTGGATTGACACATTCCTCTATTGTTGTATTGTTTTGTCCTCTATTTATTGTTGTTTATTTCGTGCTCTTTTGACTTTCAGAGGTGTTTTCAAATTTGAGAATCCAGTAAATGCATGCATACATTTATTAAGAGTATTCCACATGATTTCTTCTCGAAGAATTTTCGCGATAATATTTTCTTTTCAGATTTCCTGATGATTGCAACACCTTCTAATTTCTTTTTCTTTGCATTTAGAAGTATCTTGCTGAGCTGAGGTATGGAAACAGAAAGCACTTTGGTTAACATCCATATTGAATAGTGGTGGGAAGAAACATGATTTCACAATCGGATGCTGAACCTGAACACATAATGTATCAGAAAACACATGAAGGTAAAGCTCTGTGCATGATCTTTTCTTTGCCTTTAATTTCTGGAGGGGTCTTAAATTTTGCCATTAGCAATTGGAATAACGGTTGTCATTTACCGACAATTTAAAGTTGGGGACCTCTAATCACTTGGGATAACGGTTGGCCATGCCATTCTTTGATTCTGTCTTGTTTTATGGGCAGGTATCAATGTTGGGGACCTCTAATCACTGTCACTTTTAGCTTGTATGTCTCAAACACCGAATTTGAAGTTCACCGACAATTTCTTAGAAGCTTATGAGAGCTCTTTTTATTTGCGAGGTGTCTTTACATGAGCTTATTTGCAAGGTTTCACCCACACAATTTGAAGTTCACCGACAATTTCTCAGAAGCTTATGACATTATTGTGTTGTGTCCAAAAGTGACATACTAATGTAGGAGATTAGAATTCCCACCTCATGAGATGTTGGTCAAATTGACATCGCTCGAGTTTTTGTGTGTACAAAATAGCTGTGATTCAATGAGGTCATTCCCGCTGAGCCTTTTGTGTGACGATTTCTTGGAGACGTTGCTCAAGGAACAGCTGCTCCCACTATTCACTCTCTTA